CTGGGGGGCCCCCGCCAGCCCGATGGGGATGAGGAGGAGAGCGCAGCCCTCAGCATCAACGAGGAGATGCAGCGTATGCTCAACCAGCTGTGAGTCCCACAGGCCCTCCTCAGCAGCACCCCCCTCCGAGGCCGGAGTACCCCCTGCCAGGCCCCTCTGCCAGGAGGAAGGGCCCGCCCTCCTTGACACATGGGCTCCCTGTCTCTAGGAGGGAGTATGATTTTGAGGACGACTGTGACAGCCTGACGTGGGAGGAGACTGAGGAGACCCTGCTGCTTTGGGAGGATTTCTCAGGCTATGCCATGGCAGCCGCAGAGGCCCCGGGAGAGGTAACCACCCCTCCCGGCCTCAGGGCCCTTCAGCCCTGTCTCTCCAGCTGCTGCCCGGTCTCCTCCTCTCCCTCCCCGCCTCCCTTCCCGCCTCGTTCTCTTTCCCCTCTGTGGCCATCGTCCTCTACCTGCTTCTCCCCCCTCCTTTATCCTCTTTCTTTTCTTTCTCTGGTTTCCTTTAACCTGACTTTCTCTCTCTCTCTCTCTCCCCCTCGTTGGCCCTGTGGAATGCCCCCATCCCATCCCTCCCCAATGCCGCTCCCCCAACCCTCGCTTCCCTTTCTACTCTAGCAGCAGGAAGACAGCTTGGAGAAGGTGATTAAGGATACGGAGTCTCTGTTCAAAACCCGAGAGAAAGAATATCAGGAAACCATTGACCAGATAGAGGTAAGGGTATGAGTGGAAGCCAGGGAGCACAGGTTCCCAGTGGGTCACACGCTTAGTTACTGGTGACACCAGGCCTCCCCTTTACTTTGAGGGGGGGAGTGATTGCCCAGCTGTTGTACCTCTGGTGGATTCTTAAGATCTCAGGCTCTGGAAGGAGGCAGACAGGTGAGAGTTCAATTCTCAGCTCTGTCACTTAATAACTGCTGCTCTAACTTTCAATGAGCTTATTCTCGGTGAGCTTGTGTCCTTATTTGTAAAATGAAGATCTTAGTAATACCTTTCTCACAGGGTTGTTTGAAGATTGAACGAAATAATGCACTTGTAGAACTTGGTCTCATAATAAGCATGCCATATGATAGTTGTTTCAATGAGCTTATTCTCGGTGAGCTTGTGTCCTTACTTGTAAAATGAAGATCTTAGTAATACCTTTCTTACAGGGTTGTTTGAAGATCGAACGAAATAATGCACTTGTAGAACTTGGGGCAGTGTTGGTCTCGTAATAAGCATGCTATATGATAGTTGTTTTTATTACTACTACTACTACTACTACTACTACTACTACTACATCGTCAGTGCTATAGCGGAGTGCCCTCAGAGGTGGACTTGAACTTTGCTACTTCCTTTAGCTCAGCCTTTGAACAAATGGAAGAATTTCCATTCTTATTCTTTAGTCTTGAGGAACTTTAGTCTAGAGATGGTAAGTGGAGCTGGTGCTTCAATTTAAACTCTAGACCTTTCGGGGCTTTAGGAAGGATTTGTGGCACCCTGGATGGAGGGAACTCGGGGGGAGGTTTGTAGGTGATTGCTGTGAGCCCTTCTGCCCACGTGGGGGATCCTTCTGAGCACCCTGACTCAGGGATGGGGCAGATGGACTGCTGCCACCTGTCCTCAAGCCCACGTGGCATATTTATACTCCTACTGCTCTCCCATGCTAAATGGTCATGCTACTCTAAGCAAAGCCTGCTTTTGTTTTTTGCCCAGGTAGACAAATGCTAAGTTTTAAAGGCACAACCAGATTCATAATACTAGCTGAAGAGATGGGGAGAGAACTGATCTCCACTTTCCCATTTACACCTATCTCGCTGCCTCCTTCCTCCTTACCTGGTGATTCATCTGGGGTGCCCAGGTCCCTTTATCGTTGATATCGCGGTCAGTGAGACAGAGGCAGGAACCATGTGCCATTACTGAATGGTCAAGCCGAGGCCCAGGGTGGAGGGTGGGAGGGAATTCTTGTTCTCCGCCTCTTCCTCTCTCCACGTGTTCCCAGCCTTACCCCCGCCCCCCCGCCCCTCTGCTCGCCCAGTGAGTCTGGGGTTTCTCTGTGGGTCACTGTGGATATCTCCTAATATGCACTCATCTCCTTACCTCGGTCCTGCTTTAAATGTGTGAATTAAGGGGGACATATATATATGTAGAGACGACTGGTGGCAGTCCTAGCCTTGTATTTTGATACAATGTATATGGTTCATTTTCTTCCTTCTCGTCTCACCGAGTTATTGCCTCTCACTCAGCCCCCTCCACTCGGACTCTCGTGAGGTGGAGAAGTTGGGGCACAGTGGCAGCTTGTCTGAACAAGGGCTGGTGGCATCAGATTTTCTTTCTAGATTGAACAGTCAGCACATCCTGCTGCTCTGGCTCGCTGCCGTAGGACCCCAGCCGGAATTCCAGCTCTGGAACCAAGGCTGCTGTTCGAGCTTACCCACCCAGGCCGTCCTCTCGTCCCACATGTCACTGTCCTGACCATCTCTTTGGTCTGGCCCTGTGACCCACTTACTTCTTCCAGTTTCCATCCTCTGTCTGTCCAGTTCAGATTAGTTATGGGTGGCTACCTCAATCCAGTTCACATTATTCACAGCTAGTTTCCTACCCTTTGTCTTTGCTCTCAGGCAGTCAAGCAAGCACCTCCAAGCCATTTCATTCTGCCTCCTCTTCTGGCCCCACCTTTTGTACCCAAAACAAAGAGAGGTAGCAGATTGTCTGTGGCCCAGATCTTTTACCGCCTCTGCACTGCCTCTCAGCTCTGCCTCAAAGCCTGAGGTGCAGAATGGGGCTCTGGGAGGGAGGCCATATTTCCTTGACTCCAAGCCCCACATTTTTTCACATGTAACATTTCTTAAATCGGGATACATCTCATACCCAGTAGGACTGTTCAGTGTGGCATGCGGTCTTTCTTTTATTCTCTGAAATGAGTTACAAATGACAAAATAAAAGAATAAGGAGAAAACAGATGGTGAGAGAATTGAGCCCCTTTCAACAGGGTGTCTTTCGTTATGCCATGAGTCTTGTAGATACTTCACAAAGTTAATTCGTTTCCCATCCAAGTGCTTAGCATACATACATGGAGATGAGTAAGGCCCATGGCCAGCTCTTCCAGGAGCTCCCGATTTAGTGAGGGACATGCACTGGATGCAGGGGGGGATGCGGGATGAGCCAGGCCATGCAGGAACCCCAGGGAGGCAGCAAGGCTGTCCGCAGAGAGCGCCCTGTGCTTTCAGAGAAGTCCATCCTCTCCCTCCTGCTCGCATGAACATTCCTTTTTTCATTGCTGTTACCAGTCTGTTGAAAAAAACTGTAGGCCTAGGCAGATAACCATTGCATTCCTCTGTTGGCAAAGATTGTCAGGAAAACTAGAATGAATGATAGTGTGTTGCGTGCCTTCTGCCTTGATCTTATATATTTTTAAATCTGAGCCCTCAGCCATGGCTGCCTAGGTCCCTTGCCCAGTGGTGGTCTTGGCATGTTTGCCACCTAGGGGTTGGGAGCAGGGGCACTGCTGACCTGATGGCCTTGCCCTGCCCCTGCCACAGCTGGAACTGGCCACGGCCAAGAATGACATGAACCGGCACCTGCACGAGTACATGGAGATGTGCAGCATGAAACGGGGCTTGGACGTGCAGATGGAGACCTGCCGCCGGCTCATCACTCAGTCTGGAGACCGGTAAGGGCCTCCCCCGAGTGTGGGGCGCTGCCTGTCTTCCTCTGTGCCTCCCTCCAAGGGTGCATGCAGGGAGAGGGTAGCGGACCAGAGCTCCTTGGCGGGCAGATCCTGAAGACACTCCGCAGTGACTCTGGCTGTGGGGCTCTTGTTGGAGGTTACCTGGTATGCGTGGCCCAGCCCAACAGCATTTTCTCCCTTGGCAGTTAGATGTCCGTCAATGGCTGGGCAGCTGAAACCTCCCAGTGCTACCAACTCTGGTGGTTCTCCTGGTTAGAGGCAGCTAAAAACTGACAAGGAACCAAAGGGGTGTGGGGGCAAATTTTTATTTAAAGTCAGGGCCATGATTCATGCATTTGATCATGTAAGTTACACCTCAGCAAAAAAGTAAATGAAAAAAAAGCCACCAAAATACTATAGACCCACAGCTGATGCCATTGAGTCACTGTACTTGGCCTTAGGCAACATCTATCATACTTAAGAGACTTCAGATATTTCTGAACTCTGAGCCTCCCAAAGTCCCCAAGATAAAGATGGGACCATCACTCCCATCCGGGTGGGGTAAGGAAGGTTTCCTCCTCTCCCTGTTCCTTCACCCAGCACCCACCCTTACCCCGTGGTCCTGCCCTTGCCTGAGATGTCATTCGCCTGCTAGCCAGAGAATAAGGCCGAGGGAGAAAGGAATGCCAGCTTCAGCAGCTCTCCTGCCTGCCCCAAGGTGACAGCTTGTGTTTTTTTCTAGAAAGTCTCCTGCTTTCACTGCGGTCCCACTTAGTGAGCCACCACCACCGCCAAGCGAGACTGAGGACTCCGATCGCGATGTCTCATCTGATAGCTCCATGAGATAGGGACCTGCCTTGGGCTTCTGTGGGGACCCACCCTTATGGGAATGCACCTCAGAAGGGAAGCTTCATTTGTCCTGCTGTACCAAGTCTGACCCCTGGGGACAGGGCCTCTTCCTCCCTCGGGCGCCCTCCCTTGGTCCTTGGCCTCTCCAGGGTTCTAGGGTATCTGAAGCGAAGCTTGGCCTGCCCTTCCTGGGCGACTCCCACCACAGCTGGGGCTCTCTTGCCTCCATGCGTGGGTGTCAGCTACTCTCCATCTTATAAATGCTGCCAGCGCAATTGTGGCCCCGTAACTTGTCTACTGAGTAACGAATGTGATTGTCAGATCCTCCTTCCACTCCTGTGACCTAGAGTCAGCCAGCTCATGTCTGTGACTCTGTACTGGTGCCAACTGGCCCAGGCACAGGTATGACATGGGTTAGTTCTGTGGCTTACACAGCAGATGCAGTGGGAGAGCTTTCCCTCCATGTTGTAGGTGGAGGGAAACGGGACTGGCCAGGGTGCTGTCCTCCCTCCGCTGAGTGCTCCAGTCACCTGCCTGTGGACAGCAGTGATGTGGCTGTGATCCCTCCCTTGTGGAAGTGCCATGCATCGAAGGGGCCTCAGTGCCCCTAGTCTTGGAGGCTTCTGGGTCTGACTCAGTGCAGCATCGTGGAGACAGGAGCACTTGCTTATCCCGTCACTGCTGAGTGACACAGAAAAGTGAAGCTACTTGTGTGTGCACGTGGGTGCGTTCGTATTACATATCAACTGAAGATGTGCCTCATCTGTGTCATACACTGAGACCAACAGGCTAAGATGTCCCAAACTTGTAAAACCTTGGGAGAAATTGGGGAGATGAGATTGAGACCTCAGCATAACTGCCTGGAGGAGGCTGTGCTGAGCTGATATTTGAATGGAATCTTTATTAAGAATGAAACTGGCAAGTATTTATTGAACACTTGTGTCACTGTTTCAAGCACTGTGTTGGTAGCTACACAATCCTCTCCATGAGGCATGTAGTAGTTTTCCCATTTTATAAACATCGGGTAAAAAGTGAGGAATGGGGAAATTAGAAGGAACCTGCTTTCAGAGCCTCAAGTGGCAGAACCTTTAAGTCTCAACCCACCGAGTAAGCACCAAGGTTGTCCTACCCACTGAGCGCATATGCCTTACCCAACACTGAAACCACAGGTGGGCCTGACCCTCATTTCCCAGGTTTACTATATAGTGCTTACTATGTGTTGAGTGAGGGTCTAAGTGCTTATACAGCTGACCCTACCTGGGGCTGGAGTATGGTGAGAAAAAGGCCCTGTCCTCTGAAGTGGCCATGCTGGAGGCCTTGGAGGGGAAACCACCACAGCTGTTCACAGGCCTGGCCCCTGGGCATACACCTTTGTAAGGGACGCTTTCAGTTACGCTAGCTCTAAATCTGCCGTCAAGGTTATGCATGGTTGGGGTAAGCAAACACCTTTGCTACTCTTGACAAGAGCTGTTTCACCTTGGTATTGGCCCAGCTTCCCTCCCCTTCATCCTAGACCCTGGAATAAGTTAAAGCAACGAGTTGGCTGGGTACAGTGAACTTTATTGATGGTGTACGACAAGGTAGGGCTCCCTAAGCCCCTCCCCTTCTTCAGGGGGTCTGGGATGGAAACTGGAGGTCAGATTCTCACTCAGTATGCTGGGGGATCGATTTGGGGCAAGGACTCCCCAGGAGCTGAGGGCCTCTTCCTCTCACTGGGGTTGGTGGTCCAGGGGGCTCTTACTCCTTGGAGGCCATGTGGACCATAAGATCCACCACCCTGTTGCTGTAGCCAAATTCATTGTCATACCTGAAAAGACATGAGTAGTTAAGGGCTATTTTTCTGAGCCAGCCACCAGAGGGCGCCATGCCCCACAAGCGGTTTTTTAAATATTGCTCCAACCCCAGTCACATACCAGGAAATGAGCTTGACAAAGTGGTCATTGAGGGCAATGCCAGCCCCAGCATCGAAGGTGGAAGAGTGGGTATCACTGTTAAAGTCACAGGAAACAACCTGGGGAAAGGATAAGGCCAAGTATGGGAATCCAGTCTTGCCCAGGAGGGCCGTGTGGATACCAAGCTCCCTGTCCAATCAGTACCTGGTCTTCAGTATAGCCCAGGATGCCCTTGAGGGGACCCTCCGACGCCTGCTTCACCACTTTCTTGATGTCATCGTATTTGGCCTAAACAAGGTAAAATTGACATGGTTATTCAAGTTCCTATCTTGCCACCATTATACCAGATACAAGCCCCCAGCCCACCAAAGCTGTTCCAACCCATACTTACGGCTTTCTCCAGGCGGCAGGTCAGATCCACAACTGACACGTTGGGGGTAGGGACACGGAAGGCCATGCCAGTAAGCTTCCTGTACACAGAGAAGTGGGTTCAGTACCAGCTCCTGGTTCTGCAGCTCCCCAGGGTAGAAAAGCAGCAAAAAGCCTCACCCATTCAGCTCAGGGATGACCTTGCCCACAGCCTTGGCAGCGCCAGTAGAAGCAGGGATGATGTTCTGGGCAGCCCCTCGGCCATCACGCCACAGCTTCCCAGAGGGGCCGTCCACGGTCTTCTGGGTGGCAGTGATGGCGTGGACTGTGGTCTGGAAACATGGAAAAGGGAGTGAAGGCCAAACAGAGTGCTCCTCACCTGCCCTTCAACCTCCCTCCTCACCTTTGGGAGAAATTAAGGGATAAAGTGACTTGAGCCAACCCCAAGGAACCCAAATACTCCATGGCCCCCACAGCCCAGGGCTGTGTTCTAGGAAGGAGAAGGAGCCAATTCTGGGTGAGAAACGAATGTGTTCTGGTCACTTTCCCCATCATTCTTACCATGAGTCCTTCCACAATGCCAAAGTTGTCATGGATGACCTTGGCCAGGGGGGCCAAGCAGTTGGTGGTGCAGGAGGCATTACTGAAAAGAGAGAGGCAAGTCAAGGGCAAGTAAGTCTCTCTTGTAACACACAGTGGTATATCCGGCCACTCCTCTCTGCCATGCTCACCTGACAATCTTGAGGGAGTTGTCATACTTCTCATGGTTCACACCCATCACAAACATGGGGGCATCCGCAGAAGGAGCAGAAATGATGACCCGCTTCGCTCCACCCTTCAAGTGAGCCTGCAAAGCAAAGGAGTCATAGACCCAGGCTCTACCTTTCCGGTCTAAGGCAGCTCCCCACAGTCTTCTTGCTATACCAAATCCCAGGGTCAACTCCCTTCATCTGTAGCCCCCTACCACTTACCCCAGCCTTCTCCAAGGTAGTGAAGACACCAGTGGACTCCACAACATATTCAGCACCAGCATCACCCCATTTGATGTTGGTGGGATCTCGCCTACAAGACAAGACAAAGTTCAGGAACGTGAGGTACCATGTACCTAAGGCAGCCATCCCATCCTAGCACCTCCCTTGAAGCAGAATTCTTCCTATTCCGTCTTCCACACTTACTCCTGGAAGATGGTGATGGGCTTTCCATTGATGACAAGCTTCCCATTCTCAGCCTTGACTGTGCCTTTGAACTTGCCATGGGTGGAATCATACTGGAACATGTAGACCTGGAGGGACAAAGGAGGCCATCAAAGGGCTGCACATCAGCCAGCCTCTGCTCACACCAGCCATATAGGCAACTCACCATGTAGTTGAGGTCAATGAAGGGGTCATTGATGGCGACAATATCCACTTTGCCAGAGTTAAAAGCAGCCCTGGTGACCAGGCGCCCAATACGGCCAAATCTGAGGGAGAGGAGGTAGAAGGAAGGGGCTGAGGATTCTCTTGGGGGTGAAAGCAGCTCGTGGCCCACTCATCTTCTTTCAGGGGGAAGATGTAACTTCTCTGCCACCAGAAAGTCCCAAAATGTCTAATTTTAATCTTTCAGCTACCCTACTTTATAGCATGGCCCCAAGGCACAGGCTCCTATCGCTGCCCAAGTGATTAGGCTCAAAGACTTGTCCAACTCCTTACTCATCTATAATTTTTCCAATAGTGACAAGGCAGGGCACTGCTACTGCCACCCACAGCCTGGTCACATGCCTAGCACATAGCATTCATCACCCCTACTCTGTGCCCTCTGCATGCTTGCTCCTGTCTGGCCCAGCTTCAGGCTACACCCTCTAAGGAGCAAAGGCATGTATACTCAGCATGTCCAAGCTCAAAGGGCAAGAGTAAAGGTTGGAAGTCAATGGGATATGAGCCATTTCTCAACCCCTTAATCTCAGGCTTCTAACTGCTAAGTAAGCTACCTGTCCTTAGCTCTCTTCCAAAAATCAGATGGAGCAACAGATGTGTATGGGGAAGGAGGTGGGAGAGCAGAAGCCAGGTCCCCAATTGCAAGAAAGGTCAGGTGCTATATTTAACCCCAGATTAGGGTAAAGATGGGATCTGATTTCTGGAAGATGGACTGGGGAGAAGGGCAGAGTTCCTAAGGCTTCCAGACACCTAATACTCCCAGTGACCTTTACAGCCTGGCCTTTAGGGTTGGGTCAGCTATAGGCACAGGAGAAAAAGCAAGGTGCTTGCAGCGGAGTCTGTGTGGAGAGGGCCGGCTACTACAGGAGCCATTTTATGGTGGAAAATTTCTAACCACCATGACTCAGCTTCCCCCGCATACCACACCTCCCAGGAAAAGAAAAAAAAAAGAAAAAAAGAAGAAAAAGGAAAAAAAACCATGAGCGGACCCCCATAAAGCCACATTTGGGATTCATCAGAGAATCAGCAAGGAAAAGCATTCTCCTCAGGGGAAATCTGGGTGGCGAGGAAGGATGGTCTAGGGTGATATGGTCCAAGCTCCGAGGTCCAGCTCTTTGGAAAGCAGCACGGTAAAGCCTCGCCTCACCACGTTTACGGGATAAAGGTGACTCCAACACACTGAGGCAGGGGGAGGGTTAGTCATAGGAAGGGAAGGAGGAAGACAGGAGAGCTAAGGGAGGTTTCCTAACGGCGGTTCATTCATTTCCTTCCCAGTTGCAACATGGCGGCTGGGTTACGCAAAGGAGCCCTCCCTGCGGCGTGTGCGCACAGCTGTGCCTCCAGCATCCCCCGTCTGTGCGGCCAGGTGGGGGCGAAGGAGGCTGGGAGGAGGGGGCTCCTCCCCAGCACGTGACCCCGAAGAGCGCGAAAGGAAAGAAAGAAGCCCCAGCTAAGGGACCAAGGGGATGGGTCCAAAGCCAGAATTGGGTACTCTCCAGCTAATCTGCGGCGGGTGGAGGGGAGGGCTCTGGGCGACAAGTCTCCGCAGGGGCGGAGTTACAGGAGGCGCAAAAACTGGGTGTAGGGGACACAAGGCCCCGAGGCTGGAGCCTGAGCCTTAGCTCTGACCTTGAGATCTCCTTGTGAGGGTATGACCATCCCCCCACGTCCCTCCAGTGCCAGCCAAGGTCCCAGCATGGCAAGACCGCAATTAGGGGGTAGCCACCCCACTTCTAACTTACCCGTTCACTCCAACCTTCACCATCGTGTCTCAGGGTCGCGGCTGCGGGAGAGGAGGGTGAGCATCAGAGTGCGGGGCGCACGTAGCGGGAGTGCGGCCCTCTCCCTCCCTCCCCTCCCCCGGCCACCATCCCTTCCCTGCGCCTCCGCACGTCCCCTTGCGCCCCGGCACTGCGGCGCCAGCCTGCCAGGCCAACCTTACACGGCGGCCGCGTCCCCGGCTCTGCATAACGTCCCCGTGTCCTTAGCGGCACCTGCCTGCTTTTTTACCTGGCACTGCGCAGGAGGACGCGGCTGTCTGTAGAACGGGAGGAGCAGAGAGCGCTGGGGGAGGCTGCGCTCGCAATTTATAGAAACGGGGCGCGGCGGGGGCGTGGGTGACGCGACCAGCCTCCCGCCAGCCTGTGGAGTCCCAGCCCAAGGGCGCGGAGGCCTGAGCTACGTGCGCCCGTAAAACCGCGAGTAGCCGGGCCTCTCTTTTTTTGGACCCTCCTGGTTCTTTGAACGTGCACGCCCCGTGCGTGTGGACTAGGGACTGGGAAGGGGAGGGGACAGAGCGGCCCTGGGGAGGAGGTGATCGGTGAAGGGGCAGAGGAC